AACATGAGGAAAATCATAAACACAAGAAGCCTTCAGATTTAGGGCCACAAGTGCTATTATTGTTTTGCTGTGGTAGGTATATACTAGGGAGAGGGTTGTTGTGTCCAACAGTTCTTTGTGGATCCCTGCAAATGAATATAAAAGCGTTGATTCATTGACCTGCACAGGTTTATAGAATATGCTGTCATGTTAATGCACTTTCTTAGGAATATAAAAACTAACCCACCTGTCAGTTCGATCCTAAAGATAATGGATTCATGTTTCTAAACGTGGTAGAATTTACAGGCACCATATTAAGTAACATAAACTATTTTCCAAGCAGCTATGTGTTAAAATCAGAGGCAATTATTTGCATATTTGCACATTCCCAAAATTTTGCAGGATGTTTCACTCTTTTAGCTGTTCTATATGTTTGTATTCCTCATGGACTCTAATTTCTTGGAAGTTATCTTACCTATGATGATAATGCTTACTCAATTGACTCAGTCTTGCCATAATTTTTAAAAATGAATTTCATATAAAGATAATCTAAATATGGAATTATGGGTGGCTGTTCACTGTTGTCTATCTACTTTGAGAAATAGATACTCTACAATGCAGTTGTATATGTAATGAGAAATACCAAATTATAGGCACAAAATACCTAGTTAAGATTGTAATCTTCAATTCTGACTGGGTTGTGCTGTTTATGTTTCGTAAAGGATACTGATCTGAAGAAAGCCTCTAATATGCATAAACTTTTTGTTCTACCAGATAATTAATATAGACTCAGTCGGTCTTATCTGATTGATGTTGAAGCAGTAAGATGATGATTACTCAGTGTTTTTTTTTTACTGACCTGAATTTAAATTGCTTTAATTAGCATAGTTTGATCAAAACATAGAATATTTCCAGTTAAAAAAACTGTCTGATGTAAGGCTAATTATATATATATATATATATATATATATATAGATAGATAGATAGATAGATAGATAGATAGATAGATAGATAGATAGATAGTACAAGTCTTCCATCAGGATTTTTATATCTTATTTGTCTGTCCAGATCAGGCATGGACAAACTTTGACCCTCCAGGTGGTTTTTGACTTTAACTCCCAGAACTCCCATCCAGTTTACTGGCTGTTAGGAATTGTGAGAGTTGAAGTCCAAAACACTTGGAGGGCAGAAATGTGTCCATGCCTGGTCTAAATATTATGCACACACAGACATATATGCACAATTAACAACAGTTTGTTCTTGTAAGCCCTGTTCAGATGTACCGAAATGAGTTCAATCAATATACCCATTAAGCACAATGAGAGTCTCTCACACACAGAATCTCCTTGTAAGGTCTGTTTTGTTAGATTTCTGAATAATGTACTGATCCTCTACATAAAAAGAGATTCTCTTTAAACTGTTGCTTTCCAGGATAGGAAGAGGGAGCAGGAAATGTTGCTTTAATCTTTTTTTTTTAACACACTTGCATGGATCTGTAGTGTTAATATCTTTCTGTGTTCACATATCTGACACAGCTGCTTTCTAAACAAAGGTTCTCCCCTTGTACTGTATGGGATAAGGTAATGTATCATGTGTTTGTTCACAATTAGCTGTGTGTTCCTTCAAGTTGCTTGTTGACTTATGGTGACCCCATAAATTTCAAAGGGTTTTTCTGTGGTAAGGAATATTTAGTGGTGGTTTTGCTGGTTCTTTCCTCTGAAATATAGCCAAAAGCACCTTCTATGCACTGGCAGTCTCCCTGCTCCTAATTCCAATGCAGTTCTAGCTCTAAGATGGCAAATTCTGCCCAAGTACCCTAAGTTAGCAACCCTTCTGAATAAACTGAAATTTCAGGTCTGTTTTCCTAATGAAGCCATCTCATAATATATGTGAGACATTAATCATCATGGGTCACATCTGCCTTCTCATAAAATGAGTATAAGCTAGAATACCAACTTAAGTTGTGCAAAAGTACCTCTTGCAATGACTGTCACTTATGCAGTCAGGTTCAAAGCTGGGTCCAAAAGGATTCTCCAACTATGAAAATGTATTTCTGAGTGCTATTTCTGAGGGCTGCCTGGATCAGGGTTTAGTCTTTATATAGTAAGTATAATTGATATTTCTTTTTTCCAAAACACACAACCAGATCCCTCTCTCACTTAATACAGACAATTCATTCTCCTCTTCTCAATGAATATTTTGTTTAAAAGTTATCTCAGTTTGCTTTAAAATTTTAAAATATGAATACTGTCATATTAGTTATGGAAACTTAAAATAGTTATATGTAAATATGTATGAAGGCTTTTAAAACATGCTTTTTTTTACTTATCCCTAATTAATGCTTGCTAAACATACAAGGTTAAATATGACAGTTTCAGTAGTGTACACAGAGGACAAGCATAAATCTCCAAATTTTGATTTATTGCCCTTCCATGACCTGATTGTCTTTTGTTTGTTTATACAACGTTCATTCTGTTTCACCAAGGAAAAACAGATAATCCATATGTAATATTTGCCATATGTTTGTTTTGCTTTTAAAAGATAGTAATTTATAATGAGACAATAACTTAGAAATCATATTGAAAGTAGAGCTCCATATCCAATCATAGAAATATAATACCTGCACTGCTTTTAAGGACATTTCTGTTGGTTTGTTTTTCATACCTCCTCTGTTTAACAGTTTGTCTTTGATTATCTTCCGTCTTAAGTGTAGCTTTCATTGTGTATTACTCCTGTGTGTGTGTGTGTATAATGGAAGGAAATGTGCTGCTTTCAAAATGGAATATCTCCCCCCCCCCCCCCCCCCGCCCCCAGTTCACAGACATGGTCCTCACCCCCAAAGAGTGCCCCTCTCCAAATAAGTACATCCACCTATTTTGGTTTACTTCCAATTGCTGTAGAAGCCAGATACACTTCCACCAATTGAATACTTCCCTTAAACATGGTAGACGTATCACAGAGGACACTCCTGTCTGTTTTATGAGCTGTGGGAGGATAGATATTCCCTGTTTGAATCCAAATCTGTCATAACAAACCATATGGCAGATGAGGTATAACCTTGAAGTTATGGGCAGAAAACGGAGAGGAAACAGAAATCAACAGAATCATGAGTTGGAAGAGACTGCATGGGCCATCCAGTACAGCCCCCTACCATGCAGGAAAAGCACAAAGTACTTGTGACAGATGGCTGTGCAGCCTCTGTGTAAAAGCTTTTCCAAGTTATGAACATGATAGTTTCTGTAGATTTGTTCTTAAGTTGAATTTATATGCAAACCAGAAAGAACTATCACATTTTTAAAGTGTCACTCAGGCCGCTCTCTTTCTCTCTCCCTCTCTCTCTCTCTCTCTCTCTCTCTCTATATATATATATATATATATATATATATATATATATACATACATACATACATACATACATACATACATATATATATATAGCGCCTTTGGATAGCATAGATAAGGGTTAACACTCCTGTAGTGTTTGTTGTGCAGTCTGTGCTCCTGTGCAGATGATTTTACCTCACCTGTCAGAATTGAATTTTGGGAAATTTGGCTTGTTGTGGAAGCAAGGATTGGTGAAAAGGCTTCAGTGTAGACATCTTTTCTCCATGATAACTCTTTCAGGAGTGGGTTTCCCTTTCTAGAGATGGATTTCTCTCACTTCCTGTTGTCTCACTACTATTCTTAACTATGAGTTGTTTGTAAAGCGGATGTTTGTAACTTGGGACTTCTTGTAAAGAGAATTTGTTGGATAGTGCTATATTTTCAGGCCTTGTTGGAATTTGAATAGAAGTGCTGAGGCAGAATTCTTCAATGAGGCAAGTTCTCAGTCTCCAATATGTCTGCTCACTGTTGGTTACAAAATGGGGAGTCCCTTCCAAAAGTTAACAGCACTAATCTAAAAACATTTATATTTGGAAAATTCTATGTGAAAGGCTAGAGCTGTGGGGATTTGAATAAAGTTTGTTTAGTGAGAAAGATTGAAAACATAGTTGAGAAAGGGTAGTTAAAGGAAAGGAGTAACTGAGGTCCCTTCCAGACAGGCCATATATCCAAGGATCTGATTGCTTGTTTTCTGCTTTAAACTGGATTGTATGAGTCCACGCTGCCAGATAATCTGGGATAAACGGAAAACCTGGCATCAGATCCTGGGATATGGGGCCTTTCTGAAAGGACCCTGAACTGAGTCTGAATTAGGAGTGGAGTGTTGTCAATTGCCTTTTGTCAATTTTAACTGATTCACCAGCTGCAGCTATTTGTTGCCATCTATAATCTGATACATAATGGTAGTCTTGTGGTTGGATTGCTGCCATTGACCTATATTTGAAGTCACCTGAGAAACCTGAATTGGCCACTCCAAAAACAAACAGATTTGTGCTTATTTTGAAAATGTTCTGTCATTTTCTCACTTTGAATGTTGCATGTACTTTTGATATCCTAACCAGTTTGAAACCCATGCTCCTTTGTTTCATATATCCAGGTGCAGTCTGTGATCGGTAGAATTGTTTGCCAATTATCTTAGCAGGTGCCCTTATCTGAGAAAAAAAGATTTTTTTTCAGTGGCACCTCAATTTTGGAATGCCTAACCATGCAGAGGCTTGTCTAGCATGTTGCTATAATTCCAATGCCAGTTCAGCATGCTTTTCATCACCCAAGCTTTTCAATTTGTGTATCTTTTAAAATGTTGAGGATTTTTCTCGTTTGTTTTGTTTTGTCTGTATTATAACAATTTGTTTATCTTGTCCTAAAGTTGTACGAAGGAAAAAGGATGATATAAAAATGTTTAAAATAAAATAGCCTTTCTGCAGAATGTTCACGAGAAATCTGTTTATTTCCTTTGGCAGTTGCCTGAAATGCACTGTGATGACCGTACTGTTAAACTCTTTCCCCCTTATCTCCCTCTCCTTTCATTTCTGTATATTGAGTCACCTTTTTCTGAAAATTATTATCCCGTAAGCATGTGAGCAGTTACAAAACCTATTTGTATGCTTATACACAGTCTCCTTTGTATTTGTGGACAGTGACGAACAAGAAACCTGCACAGGCATCTATTACAAAAGTCAAACAGTTTGAAGGTTCTACATCTTTTGTACGAAGGTCACAGTGGATGCTAGAACAGCTTCGCCAAGTAAATGGTATAGACCCTCATCGAGTGAGTATAAATGCTTCTCATTTAGTTTTTTGTTCTCCACTGTAATTCTTAGGCGTCATGCTCTAATTAACTATCCCTGTTCTTTTCTCATTTTACAAAATTAAAATCAATTTGTTTGCATTTGTAAAACCAAATATTATATTGAATATTTTTAAATACTAATTACAGTTCTTCAAGAATCCACTGCATATATTTCCTTCCTAAACCAAATAATTCCTATTTCTTGTTTAAGATTTTGCCTTTTTTCTGTCTATTTTTATATATTTAAAAATAGCTTGTCCCGTTCTGCGGTAGTGAACTTCTCCATCTCTTGTAGACCATTTTGTCTTTTGTTGCTGTTAACCTCCTTACCAGAATCCTCTTATAACTATGGGTGTTAAGATTTTGTCTCAAATATTACAATTGGAACACTTGGGACAAGAAAATATTCCCGCATGAATGCACTGCCAGAAAAATAACCATTAGAAAAAATAACAGCTTTAATCCTCCATTGTGGGAAAATATATTCCATTCTCTTTATATTCTGGATGTGGACTTTAATCTTCAAAAAGATTTGGTTTGAATTACTTTTTCTGTTTGTTACTTTTCATCACTTTTTTCAAAAACTATCTTTGGGATTAGTAAAAGAAGTGTAAAATTTTCATCAAAGTGCCTCTGAATGCCAAAAATGTGTTTGTAAAGAGGTGTTGCACTCCAGAACGGAAACTAGCCCCTCTGACTATAAACACACCACACATTGAATAAAGGAACAATCCTTTTTATTAAAGCTTAGCAAAAAAAAGTCAGTAGAAATAAATGTTTGTAAATATAGATAAGGTTTTAAACAGCAATAAGGCATTCAAAGGTAGACAGATAAAAACAGTGTCTAAAACGTAGCAATCAAAAACAACGTCCAAAGAACATGAAATTATAATCCAAGGCAATGATATCCAGTCAGGAATCAAACAAGAAGCAGGAACAGACCAGACACGGCTAGTCACCTTTAAAAGCTAGAAGAATCCATGAAGACGAGACCACTTGAACAGGGATTCCATGAGGCTTACACTTGGTTTCCAAACGATGCCTCATTTTTTACAGACAAACCTTAAATCCCAAAAACTGGTTTAGCTTTCCCCCAGACTTGGACTTTAATTGACAAATTCTTTCGGATCTACGTAAGCATTGGGCCTCTTGTCGATTCTGGCTAATCTCCAGCCGCCGACTCTGCTTATCTGATTCCTCATTAACTCTAGCAGGTGTCAGACTGTTTTCCAAAGTAGAATCTGGAGAGCTCACAGACAAAGGGAGTAAACCTTTCTTCCAAGGCCTGGCAGAAGCATTCTCATGAGAATCTGCTCTTTGCCCTGCATGCTCCCCTCTGTCAGTGTCTGCACGAAACTCATTAACCAAAGTGTCTCAATCTTGCACCTCAGAATCAGTCCCAGCATCCCCCACATCAGAAGCAACAGGTGACTGACTTCCCTCCTCATTCCTCACATCAGACACAAAAACATCAGGAGACTGAAACACATTCACAGGTTCAAGCACAGGCTCAGGTTCAGTCACAGGCTGAGTCCCAACAAGTGACTTCATTATTCATTATAACAGTAAAATAATTTCATCCCACTAAAGTTCCTTTGGAAATCCTATGTATACCATATATACTTGAATATAAACCGAGCTTTTCTGCCTTGTTTTTGGGGCTGAAGAAGTCCTCCTAGGTTTATATTCAAGTCAAAGTAGGCAGCAGAGCCTGGAGACAAGGCTCTAATGGGCCAGAGGATGATGACGAATGGCAGCGGAGCCTGCAGACAAGCCTTGACTTCATATTCAGCCTCTGGCAGGTGAAGCGGCTGGCGAGCCTCCCGCTGCCACTTCCAGTAAGGTTGCCTCTGGCCTCTGTCTTCAGCATTCCATTGCACCCCAGCTGGGCCCAGGAAGGAAGGAGGCAGTGTAAGGAAGGAGGCCGGAGGCAGCCTTTCTCACATTGCCTCCTACCTTCCAGGGCCCAGCTAGGTCCAAATGGAGCATCTGGCCCGCACCGCGTCGCTCCTGGAGGCTGTAGACAGAGACCAAAGGTGATCTCACTGGAAGCCTCGTCGGAAGGGGTGGGGATGGGTGCGCTCGCAAACTGTGGAGGTCAGTTCAGTGCTGGCCTGCGCAGCCCTGGAAGTCAGGCAGGCAGACCGCTGCAAGCGGAGGTCCTCCACTGCCTCAGCTGCGTCCTTCACTTGCTGCTTACACCAGTGCAGGCCTCCACAGGCCTGTATTGGCTTGCAGAGACAATGCACTGACGTAAGCAGAGAGCAGAGGACACAACTAAGGCAGCGGAGGATCTCCGCTCATAGCAGCCTGCTTGTCTGCCTGACAGACTGACTGACTTCCAGCACAGGAGGTACTATACTTTGTGCTTTTTCTGCATGAAGACAGAAGGGGGTTGGACTAAATAGCCTTTAGAGCTCCCTTAATATTAATGCTGGCTGAAAAGACCAATGCCGTTTTAGGCTGCATCAACAGGAGAAGTCTGAGAGAAGGCAAAAGGGAACTGATATGACATTTTACCTCGGCTGTTTTTTAATTGCTTTAAATGATAATTATTTAATGCAACTGTTTATTTTAACTTGCTGTACAATGTTTAGTATTGTCTTTTTTAAAAAAAAATGGTTTTTTTAATATATAGGCATTAAATGTTTGCCTGTTACAATGTTGGAACCTGCCCTGAGTCCTCATTATTATAAAGTTATTGTTGATTCCATTGTTTTTGTTGACCCTCCTTTTCCACTTACAGAGCTAGTTTCCAGTTTATCTTTGAAATATGGTAAATATTCAAAAATATTTAACCTACTGATGCCTCAATTAATGTAGTTTTATTGATATCTATTTTTATTTTTAAATTTACCTATAGCTGCAGCATTCCCCACCCTCAGCTTATACTCGAGTGAATAAGTTTTCCCAGTTTTTTGTGGTAAAATTAGGTGCCTCGGCTTATATTCAGGTCGGCTTATACTTGAGTATATACGGTGTATTCATTGTTTTCTACATCTCAGTAGCAAAAGTGTTTATTCCACCCTCTTGGAAATTTCCACATTTGTGTATGTTACATCCTGGAATTACAGTTGATTTAATTGGCTTTGTTACTACCTAATGAACACAAAATAACAAACAGTGTGAAAGTCCAAAAGTTATGGAACAAAAGTTAAGTAAACAAACTTATTTCTTCAAGGCACTGCATGTTCTCTTTTTGTTCGGGATGTGACATTGAGCATGCTTACCAAAAGGGCATCAATAGAAATAAATACTAATTATATCTGGCACAGTCCCAGTTATAGAACATCTCTGGTACTTAAGGGCCATGCAAGGTTTTAGGGAGTTCTAGTCAAATGTATCTCAGGAATGCAGGTTGAGAAACATAATCTGAAAATGCAGCCATATTGTGCAACATGACACCACTTGAACTGCCATAGTTCAACACTGTGGAACCATGGGAGTTGTATGGTGAGGCACCATCACTCTTTGGCGGAGAAAGCTAATATCATTGTAAAACTACAACTCCCATGATTCTATAGTATTGAACCGTAAAATTGTGTAAAACTGTTTCACCCTTAGAGGTATAGGGAAGACCAATGCCCTTTCCCCCCTCTAATTTTGTTTGAAAGGAATGCACTGCAGAAAAAGTAGCTTTATAAAGTTCATGTATGTTTCTAGTAATCATAATATTATTCTTTTCAGGATTCCCCAGAGTTTGATTTACTATTTGAAAATGCTTTTGACCAATGGGTAGCAAGCACAGCCTCTGAAAAATGTACATTCTTCCAAATTCTACATCACACTTGTCAGCGGTACCTTACAGACAAAAAGCCAGAATTTATTAATTGCCAGTCTAAAATTATTGGAGGTAAGTTTGCCTGTTTTCACCTCAATGTTTCTGCACATTTCACTAACTTTATTTGCCTAAATAATTGCTATGGTTTAACTAGGTGTATATGATATTATACCAAATCAGATTGGGTGAAATTAACCAAATTTAACTCAAAATGTTCTTATAACCATCAGATAGACCTTGAATTCTGATTACTCAGCATTTCAACTCCTCAGCTACTAACCCATGATGAAAGCTGTTACTTTCCTCGGAAGAATGTTTTCCTATATAATTACTGTTTTGCTATTTTTAATTTGTTGTGTGTAGTGGACAAGAATACTGCCTCCAGTGCATGTCTTACTACTTCCAGATATTGATTTAGAAGGTTGCAATTTTAATTCCTTTCTGTGCTGATTTCCTTTTTTCCTATTTAGCAAACATCGATTTTGTCAGTATTTCTTTAAAAGAAATAAATTAGGCTGCTGTTGTTGAACAATATCCAGTTCCCTTTTCAAACTGCTTTATTATGCCCAAACATCTTCTTTGATGTACAAGCTTTTATTGATGCCATCAGAAGATTCAAGTACACGGTTGCATGTGTACTTGCAAATAATGGTGAGGTCTTTCTACAGTCTAGCACGACCATTTTCTCAGTCGCGTCATATCAAATTCTTTGTACTTAGATTTTTCAGCTCCTTAACTAATAGAAATTGCTGCTGAAATCTTTTAATGCAGAATATTATATCTGTTGTAACATGGGCTTCCAACATGGGCTGCTGCAATAAATATATTTCTTTTTCATATTCTAAAGTCCTGATACTGTTAGCAGTGTGATTATTCATAGTCATTTTTGTTTATAGCAAATATATATATATTTCTTTTAACTTATTGCAATATATATTCCTAGATTATGGGAGGCAGAGACAAAAGCTTCTTTTTAAATAGTCTGACAGGTTACTGTCATCTAGCTTAGAGAGAAAAGGTTTTAATACAGAGATGTTGTAGTTCTTTTATTTTGTTTTAATGTTGTTTTTTATGATATTTTTAATTTTGTATTAATAATATAGCTTGGTGTAATTTTAACTGGACATACCTGGTTTTTAATCATACTGTGAACTGCATTGGGGTAAAATAAAATAAATAGAGGAGACTGACTGATTGCATTAAGCCAGGGGCCTGAAACATGTGGTCCTCAAGGTGTTGTTGGAATGCAACTGTCATCAGTTTTAGCTGGCATAGTCAGGGGTGATGGATTATGAGACTTGCAGTCCAACAATTGTCACACCAGATTTGCCATTTCAACACTAAGTAGCAACTTGGATCCATCCATAATTACTAAGTAGGATTGTATTCTAGAGTCACCATGTAGTTTACTGTAATAGACCCTTTGAAGATAATTGAAGAGTGGCTCCTCTCATGTTCCTAGATACAAATACATACTAGAGCTTCAAAATATAAATAATATTTGCATAGATGTTATGCAAATAGCCCTTACAACTAAAATTATGGAATTGGAATCTTCGGTAATGCTTCAGTTTTCTCCACCAATACAAGTGAAATGTAAACTAATAAAAACCAATTTTACTCCCACAAGAACAATGCTTACCAAATATTATCTCACCTTCTTGTGAATGTGCCGTATTTATTCAAATATAATGCTCAGCTTTTTTTGACTAAATTACCTTCCCAAAATTAGGGTGCGCATTAGATTCGCATCATATGGTAATCTTAATGGGGAAGCAACTTGAGGAGCACCAGGAGCTTCTATTAATGTTGAAGCGGATTCATTCTACAGCATTAGATGCACCCCAAGATTTTCTTTTCAATTGGTGAAAGCTTTGGTGTTCTAACACTTTTATTTTTCAAGAAGGATTATAATCTTTCGGCCACTTTAACTCTCACCTTTTTGTCCAAATTAGGAAGAGTGCACTTTTTGTTGCTGTGATTACATTGACCAGCAAATGCTTTTTTTCCCCAGAGTTTTAAAAATTGAGGTGCACATTAAATTTGATGGTGCATTGAGACTCGAGTAAATACGAGTACTTTAGTGTTCTAAGTTGTGTTGATTACCCATATGGTTAATATTTCAAATAAAGTAAAATGATCTACAAATCAGCTTTAAAATATGCTAATGTTTTGCTTTAGCACCAGCTCACAGAAAAAAATGTAAAAATGTAAAAAAAATCTTCTGCAAAATAGAAATGGTTTTACTTAAAGTACATTCCTTTTCAGTAGTAAAACTATAGTCCTTCCATTACTGCTTACATTTTACTGGACTAATTAAAAACTGGTAACACTGGAAACCATTCTCAAGATGGGAATTCTTGCTATTGAGTATTATACTCTACTTCTTTATCTTGCTCACTGATATTCAGAATATTTTTCCACTGATACACCCACCTATACAGCAGTTGGTGGTAATATAACAACTTGGCCATGGGATCAACACATGTCACACTATTTTCTTAGCTGATGTATTCCATTTTTCCTAAAACACTAGCAGTTTTAACTTAATTATTCTTAGTGGAGCATGTTTATGAAATTATTTTAAACTTTGCAATAAATAAATCATTACATATGAAAACATTTTATCCCTACTGGGTGAAATTATTAGAGGCTTCTTCGCAGATTTCTGATGATGATGTTTGCCACTCAGAATTGCATAAAATGATTTTTTGTGGTAAGAAAACATTTATTCCACACAAAAAAGTTTAATGCAAATGTTTTCATTCTTGTGAGAATCTGTTTTGGGCTAATTAAGGGACTAATGGGACAGGGAGAGTACCAGTCTTTTCACTGCTGTTGTGTTCCTTCAAGTCATTTCTGGCTATTACCTGAGGAAAATGTTTGCATCAGTGATAAACACTCTGTTTTATGCACTTCTATACTACCTGTATTACATAGGTTCATTCCATTCTAAGAACTATAGCTGATATTAAAACTGGTTCAGGACCACTGGTAAACAGAGAAAGAAATTGTGTCTTGCATAACTTCTTCTCTACTGTACTCTCCACTTAGCTTATTTTAAATGAATCCCTCAGATTTAGAGATGTCATTTTCCATATGGTTCATCAAAGAAAAAAAATGAAAGATTCTTTTCGAATGGATCACGTTGATTTTTTTTATTTGATAGCCCCATTTTAAAAAATATATAATTAATTACTTATTACCAAAGTGTACGTTTCCCTGGAAAACACCAAAATCATGCTACAGACTCCTAAATAGGTTTTCTCAAAAATGGGTCCTACCAAGCTCATTTATTCCTAGTAAATGTGTATTCAATTGTAATTAAACTTATCACTGTTTTGGAGCACTGGAAATAATGCTGAAAAGAATCTATGATTGGTTGGGACTATGAATTACAAAACATTTATTTTTTGATAGTTCTCATGACATTTGCAGGAAATGGCTTTCAGTAAGTATTTTCATTCGGTGCAGCAAGTAGGTTTTAAGAAGCTTTCATCTACTTTGTAGTCTTACTCTGGATGTGGAGCCCTGGTTGGATGCTTTTTGAAGAGGAGATAGGAATAGCAATAAATCCCGCATCATAGGTTCAAAGATGTGGCAAAAGTGTTGTCCAGTAAAGGAATGTGAACTCTTAAAGAGCAGAGTTGCTGACATCTAAAGGCAAAACCCAGAACTGCAAATTTCTGTAATGGAAGGTGGATATTTCACACTGCTACTCTTTTTAAGAAAGAAAAGTTGGAAGATTGGAAATGATAGCAAAGAACCTGGAAGATGACAATCGGATAAACTGACAAGAGCTGTTTTGATCAGCTCCCAGATTTCAGAACATCAGATTTCCAAAGTCATCTCCTCCAATAACACATGCAAAAATACACATACAATGAGAGGGGGAAAGAAATAGAAAAGAGAACAAGGTGTCCTCCAATTTTTTCTCCTGGACAGCTTGCTAGAGTAAGTAATGTTGGCGAGTAGGTGCACAACATGACATTACTGCACCCCTCAACGCTTTTGTCACTGGAGTACACGCCCTCCAAATGGGAAGTTTAGCTTCACAACTCTGCTTTTTTTTATGAGTTCCCTGCAAATAACCTGCTCCTATTTTTATCTCATTAGATTTTAATGGTTTTATCTTGTACATGTGGCCTTCCCATTGTTATCATGATTGTGTTTATTGGAATGTTATTTTATGAATATGTTATACTTTTCTTTCTATGTAATTTTGATGATGTTGTTTATTGTTTATGCTTTGCTTCTATTTTGCTGTAATATGTTGTCCGGGCTTGGCCCCATGTAAGCCGCTCCGAGTTTATACCGAGGTGGGGTATAAATAAAGATTATTATTATTATTATTATTATTATTATTATTATTATTATTATTGATAATCCAGTTATTTCTGCTCAGAGAATACTTAGCCACGAATGCATCATTTGCTTCTTCTTCTTTTTTCACTGAGTGTTAGTTGAGTTTAGCAAGATATTCTCAAAATCAGGGGGTTCTCAAACTTTTTAGGCCGAGGGCTGGTTCACAATTTATCAAATTGTTGAGGGGCCGGATCATAGTTCGAAAATTTATTTATTTATCAGAAGCAAGTTGAGGATACAATTAAAATACATTTTAAAACACAAACAAAGTTTAAAGAACTTGGTATTATGCTAAATGTCCTTTGACCAGAGTGCCTTTGGTGTCACTGTGAGAAGGTCCTCCATTGTGCATGTGACAGGGCTCAGTTTGAGAAAAAAAACATGCAAATTCCTTTGCACATGCCACATATCTTTTTTGTAGTGCAAAGAAATGAAAGAACGACACAATATTTAAAATGAATGATTTTAACCGACATAAACTTACCAATATTTCAATGGGAAGTGTGGGCCTACTTTTGGCTGATGAGATAGTCAAGTTAATTGGAATTGTATTGTCGAAGGCTTTCATGGCTGGAATCACTCAGTTCTTGTGGGTTTTTTCGGGCTATATGGCCATGTTCTAGAGGCATTTCTCCTGACGTTTCGCCTGCATCTATGGCAGGCATCCTCTGAGGATGCCTGCCATAGATGCAGGCGAAACGTCAGGA